GTGATACTTGGTAATAACAAAGTCGGCTCCGATGATTGAGATGATAGGTCAAATGAGCCAACATGGCTCAGGTTTTGTTACTAATAAATTCTAATTTAAATTGCACATCACAGCTGTGATTATGTCATCATCAGTAACCCGGTAATGACTGACATGGTTAGTATCGGTAACCATGTCAGTTGGTTGATGATAACTATATCTTTTAACAAAAGTTTGGGTAGAATCTCGTAAACCATCACGTGACCCAAGTCCAATATAGGTGCTATGCTGAATGCTGAAAACCTTTACATGACCCAAGTCTATTATTATAATAGGGTATACTCTGAATCTTCGTGACGAATTACAAAATTTAAATTTTTCAGAAATACAAGGGTTCCAATATTTTCACAATAATATTTGCGGAATACCAGATCCTACAAGTTGGAATATATTTATGACCTGGTTTCCTTGAAACGTCAATAGAGGTGGTACGTATAAATTCGTTACATATGATGAATTCAAGCAAGTGAACTTGTCTTCCAAATTTGTGTTCATCAGAGCACCGTGACGTCATAACTATTTCTATTTACACCTTGAACTGCGATGATTTTTTAATTACAAAAAATAAATAAACGTTGTGTGCATTCTTCCCCGCCACATGTAAATGATAAAGGGCGGGCTCTATGGCTCTATCTCACATATAACCACCGCTTTTATTCATTTACCGTACGCATGGCATCACTTCATTATCATTGCCGGTGTTTTTGTATTGTACAATAAAACTACGCTTTTAAAAGACGTTGTTTTGTCGCCAAATTTTGTTTGTTGTTTTCGGTACGTCAAAAATAAATGTAGCAGTCACAGTATTCAGAAGGCAATAGTCAGACATCGCAGAGTAGTTCCGTAGTCTATTGTGATTGAGTTTTCAGCGTATTGAGGTGTCACCAAGTCGCCTAATCGACGGTTAAAAATCTATATTCGATTCGAATTATTTTCCATTAAGTTTAGTCTGAAATGCACACCAGATTCTTGAGTTGTTCTGTATAGCCATTATGTGACTTTCCATTGAATTGATACAACGACTATTTTACTGGTGTTTCCACTTCGCCCGAGAGAACGTCGAAACACAGTCTCTTTTTCTGACAGGGACTGCGGTCAAACATTTCTACCAGTATTTAAATAATAACACATGTTTGTGGGGGCAATATCATGATTTATTGCCTGCCCAATGAGTGGTGGTCATGAACATAATATTGATGATGCCAAGGCCGAGGCGAGGACATCGTCAATAATATGGTTACGACCAACTGCCCGAGGGCAAACAAAAAATCTTGATATATACCCAAATGACCTTGTTATTTATTGTATCACATCGAACAGACATTCACCATACCCAACTACAACTAACATACATCTTTCACACCCGCTCTTCCACAAAATAATTTGCAATATTGCAATATTTTACCTCGTGTATTATAATAAGTGACACATTACTCAATAGCATGCGTTTTTTGTGCATTGTTCGCCAAGAAAAGTAATGAAAAAATGTGAAATACACACTAAATGTTACTTTCAGCAGTGTGAAACAAGTACAGGTATCAATTTATCGACTATAACATTATTGGATGCACTCCGTTGAAGTGACTGTAATGAATTTCTCACGAGCGTACCCGCAGCGATGCTGGTGCGACGTTTCAGTGGCAATGTCCCCGTACATATTTGCTTTATATAAAGAATAATTATCTTAAACATCAAAACCGCGTCTTTTATTTAATACCTATTCTGGTACGTTCGCTGTTTAGTTCGGATGGCTAATATTTCCTTCAAAACCTTTCCTCCATATGTTCATGACATTTAACCGAATTCAACGCTGCGTCTAATCAATCAAAAGGGCGTGACCAATGGAAAATAGCCAGATGCTTACATTGTTACTCACTTTGTACACTGTAACTCGGACTATTAGTTATTAAATCAGATTTAAATCAAAATTGATATAAATCCTCATTTAATTACTGTAGACAAAAAATCTATATAATAATTGATCTTTATTTATGGCAAAATATACAGTTATCTCATAAAATATTTTTCCTATTCCAGACCACGGTTACTAAAAAAGTAACCGTGTCCAGACATATATCAGTTGACGGTCGACTCGTGTAAGAACACATTTCGCAGCGGACAGTGATCTTGTTTAAGGACAGGATACATAATAAAATCCCTGTCTGCTTTTTATGTATCCAAACATATAATAATAAATTAATTAACGTTCATATAATAAATTGTTGGTCATATAGCACTTAACCAGCCAAGCTCTACATTGGAAATACAAACTTTGGCGGTATAATAAATGTACACTGGCCGGTGGTCGGGTGGAGTGTTATTTTTAGAGTGGGCATTATTTTTTCAAGGATCGACGGTGTCTCCGCCTGTAGTGGATTTGAACAATTCTTTCGTTTTTTCCCCACTTGAGATCAAGGGTGAAAAGGTTTGTACGCATGCGCAGTGTGCTTAGCAACAAAAGTCAAAACAAAATGGCGACTGACGGTACCGAAGGTGCATACTTTTTGGAACGTATCCTTTTTCATGATGTAAGTGTTGTTGTTGTAGTTTTTGGCGAAAGCTACCCAAGCTGTTGGCAAACATTCCGTATGTCAAATTTGACAATGTTTCAGTGTGTGGCGTAGTCGTAAACACGAGCTAAATACCATATTCGAGGTCAGACAACAACCTACAAAATAACATTTGTTTTGATTTTAGTATACTCTGCTGCCCTGCAATGCAATGTGATATATTTATTTGAGAATCATAAAATTGTTATTGAGCTCAGGTCGGTCATAGACAGAGGCATATTTTTGTCTAATGCAGTAGTTCTTCGCTATGTTTTCGATTGTTGCAGTTTTAGCACCTCTGATTGTCCTCAGTTTGGCCTTCGTTCCGGGCATGGAAGGTACGTAATTTCCATGTTCCGGGCAAGGAGCTGCAAGTCCATGCACAGAGTAAACGCATTTTGCCAGCTAGTGATACTTACTGTCGAGATACATTTTTGTATCACTTAAAATAACACCTTTTGACACATTTACCGGTAAACCCAAAACAGGCCCTATCAATACATGGATTTCCCACTATATATGAATGCCACTTCGAGATTACGCATGAAAGTACATTATACCACAATCCCTCTATATATAACTACATAGAGCTAACGTAGAAAAGATCACTTTAAAATAGTATAATGCGTACAAAAAGATGACATCGCTACCAATTTACCAATTATACAAGTTAAAATTTAAATTGGACTCTCATTCTTGATCTTGGTTTAAAAAATAACATACAGAATATCCATTATTTATGCTCCCTTTGATACCTCAGTATGTTATGAGATCACTAAAAGATGAAATGAATGTCCCAGTGAACCAGTTTCCCAGGAATTAGGGTAGACAAACTGGGTGTATCCTACGCATGGATCTGCAGTTCCTTGGCTGTAACTGCAGCTATGTTTTGCGCTGAAATTGGCAAATATTCACAAAAAAGATTATCGGTAGTACAGTTTAACTTTAAAGTTTATGGAGAATGCACTATTTCGCTTTCAGGTCTTCATTGGTTCAGACTACTTATGTGAAATTGTGACTATATGTGTGTTGGTTGGTGTTTTTATGCATTTAGCATATATGTATTACCAGAGGTACATTACTTGGGGTTTGCAACTCGCATAGTACTGTATGATGACGTCATGTCAAGATCCCA